CGTCTTCGCCTAAGACATGGTGACGCATGTTTACTGGATGTCGTGTACCGCTCTCTGCTGTCTACTTTAGTAATAAACAGTCGCCTAACTTCCCTTTACGTGTAATGTTCTCCCTACAATCATACAGTTACATTCTCCTGGTTAGTGACCTCACTATTCACGCTCTAGCAACCCCAGCCTGATTCCATGAGCGATCAAAAATGGAATTGCAGGGGCTGACTATTGGATTAACACTTTACAACCACTTTATTTCTCCCACAAGATTCAAGACAGGGAATAACCCACTATCCTGGATCTCGAGTTCAACAACCATGAGCTTATGGTCGAGGCGGTTTTATTAATATTCTGGGCCGCAGCCGTCATGCAACGCTACTGTTCAACTACATCTGTTATATGGAGTATAACTATAGGAAACGCGATGATAAATTAAAACATCTATACTTGAGTACTCTTCAAACCCCAAGCTCATATACAGATAGGTTAATAAACTTCGTAATGTGCCGCGAGGGATTCTCGCCCTAAACATGTCGAGTGGGTAGACACAATCCGCAACATAAATGGTCAACGCCCTACGTCAGCAATTCTCCGAAAGCTTCCAGAAAACTGTGTGGTCACACGTGCTGCTCACGTAAGTTATACAACCGTCAGGACTTCGTTATATATCTCCTTTACGACTGCAGATGTTCTGAAAAGACTAGTTCACTTGCGCAAGCATACCTTTCCTGGTGCTTGAAGCGGTCATTGGTCATGCCAAATCCATCCGTCGCTATCTAGCCGGAAGCGTGGGATCGCGTGTAAGTGCGTGTGTATTTGTGTATCAACCAATCAGTGTCTGTTATTGATTCCTTTCAAAATGGGAATTGTTTAAGGGTCCAAGTGAATACCATCTCAGACAGTTTTTGCTTGTTCCGCTGTCCTGAGTGGAGTGTAACGGTTTACGCTTGCAACTAAAATCTTCCTACTAACATACTGCTGTTCTGATCTCGCTTGTGTGTACCAAATTGGCAACGGAGATTAATCAGATTACCTATAGCAAATTCGACTACGGCACCTCTGCCTTTTTGGATTTCTTCTACAGAAAGACCTACTACCTCGCAATGGACACAGCGGTGAACGTTGATCTACGTTTGCTTCTTGTCGGCAACAACGCGGTTGGTGTTACATCGAAAATCATATCACTACGACACCATCTTGGTAATGAGGGGTCATCGACATGTCGACAGTTTGCAATTACATACGAAATGTGGCCTGCGATCTGTGTTCTATTCCTTGGACCAACTTTTGGAGAAAAATCCACATGTGTTCACGGCATGCTATACATTCAACACCATGCGACAGTAATCGAATAAAACTGTAGAGGTCATTAGGAGGGGTATACGATCAACCCCTCAGCGGTTGATTGCCGAGGCGGTGTAAATTGCCAATTCGGACGACTGCGTGAATAGAATGGAGGGGGTAGAACTCCCTAATGCGTGGCGGGCAGTCATAAGCCAGCCAGCTCGACGAGCATCGGTGCGTGGATCAGATTGGAAAGTGCAAACCGACTCCCATTGTCAACACTATGGACATATCCATCATTGTCAGGCCGCAGAAAGGAACCCCAGGACTATTCCCACTGTGATCCTACCACCTGAGGTGACATCATCAACTGTTACTGTAATGACATCATGACTCAAGTCTCGGGTAACACGGTTATCGGTCCTGTTCGCTATAAACTCCCACACCAATTGCACACTGATTCACCTGGTCTGACGAAGTCGTGGTGTTGAGGGCGAAACGTTATCAAACTACTATACAAATCGATTGTTTCCAAACCTCTCTGAACTCATGGCTACTCGATGGGTTCCAAGTATCTTCCAAGAATTTGAGGCTGTAAATGCGTTTATCTCTTCACGTTTGATTCCTCTCCCTGATTGCGCATACGATCAAATTCCACCGACCCAGTTCAAAAAAGCAGTGCTGTTAAGTTCTGCATTGCGTTTCCATTGAATGCGACCTGGGTGTGATAGTACAAGTGGATCTTGGCTGTTCCTTAGGGCCTAAAAATCATCCAAAAAGCCAACTAAAACCTTGACCTATTACGGAGGACGGAGGACGATTCGCGATCTGCCATCGACGCCTGGCAGCAATGGCACAAGCATGACCTTACCGCATTTAAAATATTACGATGAATGGTGACCAGGAATGTAACCAGGTATGTTCCAGGTCATTTACCAACTGAGCCTGAAAACCCTGGGGGTCTGCTGTGGGCAATATCAATGCCTGCGTGGCGATTTGGCAATGACGGATTAGATCCTGAGAAATCCGAACCATGCTTGTCGTCACCATCTGAAACTGATTCACAGTACCGTTCTAAAGGGACAAACTAAATTCGGTCACACAAAATCGCCGACTGGAATGGCGCCAGCCACTCTAGATGATACATACAAGCATTTACATTACACAATATATCCCTTTCGTATTTTGTCAACGCAACACAACAAATCAGTGTGCTAAGTTTCACTTCTTACACTTCGTTACCTAAACGGCACTACTTTCGGCTATCTTTGTGATGCACCCATACTGAATTTACCTAGAGCCCGGGGATCGGCACATCATTGAGCGTTTTATTTACATTTTTCTCACAGAATACAACAACCCCGACTGCTCCGCATCCTGCCTTGTATGTTTGCATTCAATTCTCAATTTACACTACTGTCATGCATCGGCGCATCTAATTTCATAGGCGATTAAACTGATGATTCGCTTATCTTTTGCCTTTGTAGTTTTTATTTCCATCCTCCTACTGGACAAGTTAAACGGTAGCTTTTTTTGATCGTTGTAAACCAGTTTTCCATTACTCACGATTTGTTTATGTACACACAAAGAGATGATTAGGACAACTCGGATCGCAACCAATGCCTCAGGAGAAGCGCTCGAGTTGGCCGGTGAAATTTATTGCCCTGTGATGTTTAAAATCTGCCATTTCGAAGGGGCTTGCTGTGCAACGAGACAACGCGACCTTCGCTTACTTAGGCTCAACTGGTTGAAAACTACGAAATTGCTTGATGTTCCCTTGAATTTTGTGTGCAACAAATTATTTTGGTGTCACAATGGGACGGCGATTCAACAAAGGAAATATCCACTTGGATTTCAGTATGAAAATCAAGCCCAGTTTATCCCTGCGATAAAACGCGATGCCGATTCCGTATGCAGTCGCTTTAATCGTCGACAAAGAAATTGGTAGGCTACAGCCAGCCGGAGTTATCAAACCGACCAATTAATTTTCAAAGGGTGGTCTCTGTTGTGATTGTCGAGAAACCGAACTAATGATCCGCCTATGTGCAGATTTTTACAGGCTATAATATTGCGTAAGGTATCCTCTACTCTTTCCTGAAAAACCGTTTTACACGTCTGAACGGCGGTAGGTGTTTGATAAACTTTATTTTAACGCAGCTAGTTACCATCTAAGCGCATAATCTCCACCATTCAGCGTACGTACTGGGCTGCGGAGGCGGTAATTATCAACAAAACCCGAAAGTTGCCGTTACCTTCATTAAAGGAAGATTAACCCCTCGGTGCAAAGTTACATTGTGTTTACCAATTCGTGTGTGACTGCCGAATCAGTTACATCGGCAGCACCGAACGGGCTTTGGAATCCAGAGCGAAGGAACAATTACCAAACTGGGTTCAGCGCTAAGTTATTCAATCTACCTCCGATGATACGTGATCGCGTAAGCCGCCAACATCCTCCATAGGCAAGCACATTTGGGCAACTCGTCACCGGATTAATCCCTTAGCAGCGTTCTGGATCTTATTGCGTTCTACAAATTCACGTCTTTTGCGATCTGCCGAGGCCGTTGCGATAAGCCGAATTAGGCCAGCCTTGTGTGTCCAAAAGCAACTAGTTGTCAACGTGCAGTTTCCGTGGTCCTAATTTCAACAACAATGGCCACAACCATAAATTTGATTGGCTTGACTGTGCCCTATGAGACTTATAAAAAGATTTCCCAGTTATTGTATTGGTACTGATGAGGCAATACGAAATCCTAGCATCTGCCAATATTCGTCTCATCATTTCGTTGTTTAAACTGGACTTATCTAAAGCATTTCCCCGGATTGAAATGTCGGGGGAATCGCGGGAGCTGTTAACGATAAGCACCCAGAGAACTATTCTGGTATACACGCCTATCATTTGGGATTAAGACGGTCCCGACAGTCTTCAGCAGTTAATGGATACGATGCTCCAAGGAATGTGATATGCAGCATCATACCTGGACAACCTTGGTGCCCAAAACAGAACTCCACTCTGACCTAATCATCAGACCTAATTACCTTCTCACAGGTCACGCGCGACTGGTCACGTTCGCCAGCCATTGCAATAGTGCATGCATAGATCAACGTCTGTCACAGCTCCTGTGCTGATTGGCGTCGCTCATTTTATTCCGTAGAGCGCCAATTGCTGCAACACACGGTAGTAGTTGGGATTTAACTGGATTTTATGGAATTTCACATGACACTTATTGCGGCAATCTCACGCGGGGAACACATTGGCAAGGTGGAACCAGTCCTCACGATTCGCTTGTGTGCACACAGATGGGAGGTGGTTAGGGTGACTAGCAATCGTCTTTACTGCTGAAATTATCCGGCATCTGGTCAGTTTGAAGTGCGCTCTCCTCCCGCTGCAGATCGGGTGGAACGCCCTCGGCGTCCGTTTCCTTTTCCTGGGAATGGTTAGAAGTTCGGAGCCCCAAGTAGGAAACTCGAATGCAGGCGGAGACCCAAGCTTCTGAACTCTGAAGCATACAGGTAGCCAGCGACGTGCAAACCTCCCGCTTTCTACTACCTTTCACTACGCAACTACTTATCTGTGGTTGAGTTACCTACTCCCTATCATGTCGGTGCTTTGCTCGAAAGGCTTACGTTGTGCAGCTTTTACCTACTCGCTTGTAAAATTCCCCACTGGTTTTTACTTTTCAGTTTTCACTTTAATCCAGCTCCTTGCGTTATGCCATTTTCAGCGATCAAGATATGCCGTTGCAACTGGAACTGCCCATGACACAGGCTGTGCAGACAGCAATAATTCCGGCCCGATCTGATATCGATCCTGATATCTTTGGCACTATGACCTCTTTACAGTGTTTTCGGGATCAGGAGAAGTTGGTTGAGGAGCTGCTTTCCCCAGCGTAAGTCATGTTTGGCGACAGCCCAGCACACAAACCAGTCGGTATGCATTTGAACTGCAACCGAGTCTGAGTATTCTGATGCATGATATGAGAACGATTTTGCAATAGTGATTTTTCTTGGTGTATTTTTGAATATGAACGGATAGTGACATGATAATTTGGTGCAAAGTACAATGATCATGTAGTATGAGTGACCACTCTGAATAAAGCGTTTTAAAACTGCTGTTGTATCGACCCGATGCGGACCTGTAACAACCCGTGAGGGAGAGCACCAATAAGCAAGAAAATCCATCCCGGAATAATTAGTAAACAACCAACTCTCACACAAGCATCATAATTTTAGTCAAACAAGGGACCGGAGCTGGCTGAACCGACGGCCTAGGCAGAGTTCATATTATGAGAGCGCGTTTAGAAGCTTGTAGTCGGCCAGCAACAGCCGCTGAATCGCGCAACCGATATCAGGCAGTTAGGTCGCCTATGAACTATAAGAGTACATACCTAGTAAAACCCGGTTTTCCAAATAATTACGTCTCAAGTTCTATTTTAAGCAGTTTACATTGCTTCCGAAATGTGTGAAAAGGGTAATTTTTCGTTCCGGGAAAAGCTGTATGGACGAGTTACGTCCGAAATAACCATACATAGAATTAATAACACCTGGATTAGCCACTGCAACTGCAAACACTCTTCGTCGACCGTATTGTTGTCTTATAATCTTTAAATAAATAAATAACTAGTTTATTCTTTGTGGTCAGGGAAAAGTCGGGTGATCAGTTTAGTCAACAGGCTTATACGCATTCAGTCCCAAGCGTAGAAGATGTCCCTAGAGTAATATGGGTATTATTATTCGGAGTCATTTGAAGATCGTATGCTCGGCGCACCTTTGATGGACGGTGTCTGGTTTCACTGATAATTCATTTTTATAGACTTGATCGAGTGAAGTTTATTGGAACAGGAAACACAAAGATATTGAAGGGCAGATGAACTAGGATTGACCAGTGTTAGAAAGCGTAGCCGGTTAAATGTAGCAAACTTTATTATCGTACCGTGCTCACCATTGTGGAAGGCAAGTGATGGAGGTGAATAAGACCGGACAGACTCATCTGCAACTGTTACCGAATAATAATCAACGATATGAGGTCTAGACTTAGGATTAGCGTCTCTGCAGTGTTCATTTCAAACATGTGCAAATATTACAGCGAGTCACCTTAGGTGCAAATTGAATAAGACGATAGAACGATCGCCTTCCGCGAGATACTGTTGTCAGCGCACGTCAGCGAGAAGTTTCTGTCGTTAAAGTAATTGCAGTGAATGCTACTTGCGAAATGTTCGCTGCATACGCTAGGATGGACTCCCCTTTTAAACCGAAAATTGATTCGGACGTGTCGATTGAGGCAATGAACGATCGAGAGTTGTGAGATGAGGTTTTCAGTTGGTGCATCCTCATCGATCTCGCTCATGCAAGTAGTAAAGGATTCGAAATCAAAATCACTGGAAATTTATGTGTGCACTGCCTGCTGCTACAGTAGGCTTGGTCACAATATCAGCTTTGTTGCATGCTGAATGTTGGGAGCCCTGGATCGATAACACTGGCCTAAGGCAATTTGAGAATGTGGCTCCATTGACGACGCATGAAAGCAGTGGACGATGCATAGGGTTGACTTGATGTGAGTTATCCCCCAAAGCTTTGTGTTCAAAAGATAGCTGCCAGATACAATAAGCTCTCCTTGGTGGCGGGTGGGGAACCAAGTGGCCACCAAGTGGCCACCAATCGAATCCATATAACCTGATATTTGCATCCTTGTCATTGACATGTGTGACGGAAGAGAACGCACGAAATGACAACGTCATCTCACAGACTGTGTCTTCTGATGTTGTTATTTAAACTTATAAAGGGAATCTCATGATTTTATACACCCAAATGGGGATATGGAACTCTCGCATTTCAGGATGCACAGCATGTACACACTCGCTGCCTCGGTAACCGGCGTGAAGCGTTCTTATCCACAGGTGACTTGACAGATATCGTCGTCTACCCGACGGTTAGTAATCATCCCCCATGATGAGGAGCTTGAAACACTCTATCTACTTGGTCAACGCAGACAGATTTTCCATATGTTAACCTTTCGATTGCTCTCCTTCGCATACGCAATACATTTGGGTGGTAAATTAATATATGTAGAAGTGGAACGGAAGTACATCGGGAAATTAAAGTTAGGCGACCAAGACCAGGGCACTGGGATAGACTGCTTCAGTTGCTTTTGCGCGCACAATACCGGTCAGTTTACCGCACTCAATACTGCCTCACTGATTGACAGCATTTTCGAGTTTCCGTTGATCAACAGCACCTTGAATGTCCATAATAGATCCACGTGATGGCTAGTCATTACGAGGTGCTTTGTACTAAACGAGGTAAGCTTCTGCCTATCTAGTTGATCCTCCCCTCCACGTTGTGCTATGGATTGCCTCAACCACTTTGGGAAGCGCTCAGCCACGATTGAGCCAGCCGCCTGTCGATTCTGTTTATATAAACGTCACTGCAGCTGCAGGTGAACTGGCAAATACCATGAGAGGCCAAACCGACTGAGAAACTGTCCGGAGGATAGTTGTGCTTCAGTCTCCGTCGGGTGTGAAGGATTTTATAGACCCGCCTCAAGTGTACTTCTTACAGCTCACATGTGCATACGAGTGAAAGACACTTTGTGGATCTCTTGTAAACGCCTTTCTTGCTGGTTCTTCAACATCGTGGTGACTTCCAGCCAGCACACATTCAGCCGGGAGCGATGCGTTTTAAAGGGATAGGCTCATTCCTAAAATAAAAGCGGCTACTGCCTTCAGCACTGAGAACATTCCCACTTTGTTCCTTTTTTGTTAGTTTTAGACAACAGTGCAAACAAGCGAGACTAAGGTAACTGAGTTCGTGCAATCAGGTATCAAGAGCCTACTGGGTATAAATAATCAGGCTTACTTATCCTTGGCCTTATGCATTGGGGCGATACAGTCGCTGCGGATTTTTAAATTACCCTGTTGTATTCTACGTTTGCTTGGGGATTTGTGTGTTACACGTGCTTTTCCTCTGTGAATTCTTCACCAATATATTTCTTTTGGTGTATTTTTCAAGCTATGCAAAGTTAGCGGATACTCTTCGGCTAATTTCGGAGATCTCATTGATTGGCCCAACTGTCAGCTGTATCCGCCATCTTGGATTTGCTCTACAGTACTCTAATCTGTGTGGAACAATAACCTAACCTGTGTCAGCCCGTCCACCAGCTTGACCGATAGCGTTTGGATTCAGCTTACTCGTGTAGACTTCACAACGAACGATATCCACCGAACTGACAAGCACAATGGCACGTACTTCAGCCAGCATTCCAAACATAGCGCAACGCCGCATACGCCCTTCAGAAAATTGCGGTACAGTTCTTAAGACTGGGGTAACCCGTTCTACCTGCATTAGATCGTACCATCCGCTATGCATACTGAAACCCGTCCGAGAAGCGAGGCAGATAAACAAGGGTACGGACACATTTTGGTTTTGTCCAACATGTCAAGTCATTCCCGTTGTCAGCTGCTTGTGTTTAGTCATGAAGAAATATGCTAGATTGGCTGAGATGATCACGCGTTTCGTGAATACTAAGATCGCTCCCTCGGAGGTAGATATTGCCACGCTATTACATCAACCAGCAACCTAAGCCTAGCCTCTGAGCCGAAGAAGTAAGCCATACGCTTCAACTGCATTGTAGCGTCTGTCTCCAAATCCTCTGGCTCATCTCACTCCCATAAGCGGACAACTTAAAACATGCCTGTTTCCACTTTTTTCAGCGGTGCAGCACATATCAAGCCAGTTGTGATGGTGTGAGGTTCTAGCTCGAGTTCGTCCACAATAGAGAAATGCTTGCATCGTACGAATCAGTTGCCTCCACGCGAATGCCGGGGAGAAGACCACCGTCTCCGGTAGCAGCACGAAGCAACATTAGGGTGAAGCTACCCATACAAGCAACTAAACCGTTTAAAACGGTATCCATTAATACCCTCAAACCTGCAGCCACTAGAATAAATCTCGGTTCTTTGACTGCTGTGTGCACGAACGTTCCAGAATCGCAGTCTAGTACCATAAAAGAGAAGCTGGTGGTTGATCGTAATCAATGGAATTCCAGTTTTGGTGCAGTTGACATTTCAGTTAAGTCCACGACACTGAGACGGGTTCCACGTCACCCAAACGCAATGCATTACGGTGAACCTTTACTTTTCCGGGTGACAATAAATTCCAATGATGACACAGACGCCGTTCGGTTCGGCTCCGTAACTCATCACATAAGGTACGCATACTTCCGGATATCCCTTGGAACACACGTTCTAACGAGAAGAGCAACCGGTGAAGTAGTTCTGACGGAAAACAGACGCTTTTGTGTACGTGATTCCTGAGTTTCAGACATCCTCCTCTGAGGAAGCAGAGAAACACGATCGGGAGCAATAGAGTTAGATCCACCAGGAACTCTCCCTCGACAATATCGTTGCAACGCGGTTGACAAGAATTCAAGTTTCACCCAACTACAAGGGGAACGGTCCCTGGCTGATGAATGTGATACCTCATTCTATGATAATAACACCGCTTATAGTGGATAATTGGTCTAAATTCCGCAAAAGGCAGCAGGTACACGGCCACGGATAGCTGACGACTCATTGGGGACGAACAAACTGGTGAATCTTCCCCTCATACAGTTCTGTGAGGGGATTGATTTAATGGGAACCTTAGCATCCGAAGGAATAAGACAAAACACAGGAGACCATCAGGGCCGGAACAGCCGAGAGCAGTCATATACCCCGACCGAACTTCAAATGCCAATAACTCCGCAAAAACGGCTAGTGGCCGACCCCTCAACGGTCGGCACAATCTCCAATCTTAGTCCAACTTCCAATGATTCACTTTTGCTTACGGAGAAACTGACCTGCTTGTATACTATCGCACAAGGCCTTATTAGCAAGTTGATCGAACTCCGTCA